CCTCACAGTGGGGCTGTAAGGATCATTTGACTTATGTTAAAAGCCTGTCACATGAGTACAGCAGTGGCTTCTCTGCCTTTTGCTGACAGAGAATGAATTGGGTTATAAGCTTTCTATATCTTCTGAGAGGTCAAATTTATGAAGAGGAGATATCTAGAATCTTCTTCAAATACAGCTATTAAATTCACATTGTGAGAAGTAAAATCAAGCTGTGAAGTGATGGAACATTGCTGCAAAGTGAAATCCACTGTGGAAGAAGATACAGCCTCTCCTTCCTGTTTTACTAGAGCAGAGGAAACTAAATAGCAGCTTCTTCAGTTGTTCTCTCAAGTCAACCCATAAACATGGGATCCTGAAGCCATTGTTGGAAAAAATACTCATGTACCCTACAGCCTTAGCCTGAATGACAGTCCTGTTGTCCTACACATTATATGTTCCTGGAGGTAAAATAATTGTTTAAGACTAGCATATCTTTTCCTTAGCTATATAGCATCAGACAAGTCAGAATATACAAATAAAAATCCTGAGAAGTCTTACATCTTTCTAAGGCAATTTATGTGCAGCACCACAACTAAGATACAAGATGGAGAAAAAATAGCAACTGCTCAGCCATCATCAGCCTTTCCATGCTGCTTAAATGACTATACTGATGTGAACCAGCATGCCCAGCTGCCAAGGGGCCAGCTGAGGGTTCTAACATACTTTGACAAAGACACAGCTCTCCATTTGGAGCCCCTAGCTCCTCTTCTGCAGGTTTTTTACAGCTTTGTCCATATTGAGGTGATGATGGACACTGCAGACAACTTCTGCACCTGGTTGAATTCCCTCACTAGAAACCCCATGAGAGCCTGTTAAAAGGTTTATATTCTCATTTGTGTTGACTAGTATGGCCATTAGATTTTTCATGTATGCAAGCCAATCCTGAGTTTGTTATATCAATCTGATAAATATATAAATCTGAATCCAAGCCTTTAGAGGCTGAATGGAATAGCTTAGGCTTGAACTTCCTTTTCTCATTTGTAGAAAAATTTATGTGTTTGATTCAACATAGAGTCTGACAGGAGCTTGCTTACTTTAGTCTATCAAGTTTGGATGTTTTGAGCATTTACAGGCTCAGGATGAAAATGTGTATGCAACCAAGAGACATGTTCCAGGACAGGTTGCTCCTGTTAGACTGAAATCACTGAGCCTTTTTTCTATGTTCATTTCACTAACTTACTGAGAAATAAAAAGAGCTAATAAGACTATAGCTGTATTTGTGGGATTTAAATGAACTAGGTGTTTTCCTTACATATTTATTTAATGTTCTTGATTTCCGAAGAGACAGCTTACTGTAGAACCCTTCCCTGTTCTCTGTATTCCTGAAGAGACACGTGACCTTTAAGTCTCCTTAATATGGATAGGACAAAGTAAGGGAGAGATGATTCTTCCACCCTTGCTTGGGAGATAACACACAACATTCCCCCAGGTGATACCCTGAAGGGTCATTTTTGAAATGACTTCCAGGCTGAGAAGAAAAAAACCCCAGGATATCCTCTGCTTGTACTCAACAGGTCCCCTGCAGACAAGCAGAACTGCTCTATTTTTGACACGCCAGTATTCTTTGTTATTTAGCAACAAATAAAACAAGAGCATGGGCAAGTAGCTCTGCTCCTCTTCAGCTGTGTTTGGAAATCATCTACCCAGTCTTTGTTCACTCATTGACACTTCATAAAGGTGATGACGAGTGCAAAACAGGAGTGTCTGAGCAAGCAGAACAAAGATTTTTCAGTCTGGGCAGAGGGAAAAACCTTGGCAGTTTGGTCATAGTGAAGTAGTTAGAACTGAACAAGAAATACCTCTTTTTGTTGTCAATTTTATTTGACATCACAAAACAAGAGCCTAGACATACCTTGCAACAGCTGGGAGGACTGGAAAAGAAAAGGAGAAATATCCAGGAGTTGACGGACAGCTGTATTCCAGGCCAGTAACTGACAGGCCTTTGGTTTTCCTCCATAGCTTGAGACGAGTCCCTACCACTTGTGCACATAGAAATTATTTGAAATTATTTTGAAGCTTACTTTAGATCTTTTTAAAGAGCATATTTACATGTTTAGTGACCTAAAAAAAACTCTTTCGGCAATATATTTTTTTTAATAGTACTAGAATGCATTTACTAATCCATGCTTCTAAGAATTTTAACCAATAGTTATTTCCAGTATTTATTAGCACTAAAGTTTGCTTATAAATGTTACTTCCCCAAGTGTTTTCTGAAAAGTATTTTTGGCATAGAAGGTCATGATCCTCTAAAATTTTTACAGAAAGGATGAAAATATCTCAATTTCAATGGCTAAGTAGCTTTACACAAAATACTTACAGCGGGTACATGCTTAAGCATAAATCCAGAGTAGGCTCTCTGCATAATACTTGTTTAAATTTTAAAAATACTAGAGGGAGAAAAGTCAAGCTCCATGATTCTCTGTCCTGTCCTGGTCTGTCTGGCCAGCCATTAAAATTCCCTCACCTTTCAGAATAATCAGTTTGCTGCTTTGTGCCCAGCCCAAAAAATTATCCTGCATGAGAACAGAGTCACACTGCCACCTCTGTTGACACTTAGTGGCATTTTTAGATCCATTCTTCCTTTCCCAACCTAATCTAAGGGGAGAGACTGAGCATATGAGATGCACACGAACATCTAGTACCAAATGTTTGTATGTCTTGAAATGCTAGAGGTAAAGGCTTTCAAAGTACTACGAACATAGCTTGATTTTTTTTTTTTTTTTTTTTTTTTTGTGAGGAGGCAGGTTTTAGCAACTTTTT